TTTTCTTAGGAATACCACTAGTACGTTTGCCACGTGGGAAAATAGCGGGCCTCGGGTGGGCCTCCGACCTTTTCGGATGGCCGAAACAAAACGACCGCCGCCGATCAGATTTATCAATGGCAGCCGTCGTCAGGCCCGGCCTCCGAATTCTCAGGAGTTTGGGAAAACTGCCAGTTTTCCCTTATTTTCCAACACTGGGCAAGGTACTAGTGGTACTTACCATATGCTGAAACGACAAAACATATGGCGGCGTATTATATGCTGAAACGACAAAACATATGGCGGCGTATTATTCCACGTTCTAGCAGAATATCCAATCTTCTTTTATTTTTTTTTTGTTTGGAAAGCCCAGAGTGTTGCAGAGGCCAAGGACCAGACCCGCGGTGATTGCTGGTAGAAGCAGCCAATGGTTGTCCTGACAGGATAGGCCACCTACCCTACCCATCCCCACGACACCCCTGTCCCTCCTATCCTACCTCAGTGTGGCCTGCACTCAGGACCATCACCCTACCAGTACTGAGGGCAACTTGGACCAGACAGCAGTGCATCAGGGCTGGGCCAACCTCCCAGCCCTTGCCGTACGGGAGCTCGGACGCCAGGCTCATGCAATCTTCTACAGGCCCAAATCAGGGAGTCTACCCAGCACTGGCAGGATTACCTAAGCAATGCAGGCCAACAAATATGTTGTTTATGGTTTTGATTTTTTTCTAAATACACGAAGTTAAAAAAAAAAAAAAAAAAAAATGTTGTTGTACATCTTTGAGAGATCTACAACCCTATATTTTTTATTTTTATTTTTGTTTTTGTTTTAGCCCTTGGAAAATCTATGTGAAACCCCCAAAAAAAAACTCATGTCATTTCTTGTTTTTGTTTTTTTCATTGTGCTTATGTTTTTGATTTTTTTTAAATATATTCAAAGCTCAAAAAATAAAAATAAAAATATAGGGTTGTAGACCTCTAAAAGATCTACAACCCCATTTTTATTTTTATTTTTTTTTCTGATTACATTTAGCCCAGGAAAAAAATCATTGCGGACCACGTTTTTCTCGCCTAACGGACATTTGAACGGGATTCAAAGCGAATTCAAAGCGCGTTGAATTATTCAACGCGGAACCCACATTGAATCCAAAATTGGACACATAGCCGAGAGGGTGTTAGCCTGCACATGGACATTCAAAGTGAATTCAACGCGCGTTGAATAATTCAACACGGAACCCACGTTGAATCCAAAATCGGACACATAGCCGGGAGGGTGTTATCCCGCACATGGACCCGCAACAGATGGACACGGAACACAACGCACCCTGATAATGCCTACATCTGAAAGAAAACATCAATTGTGTACATCATTGCCTGGGAGCATTCTGTCTGGGGCGTGAGTGAGCCAGAGAGACAGTGCGCGGGCGCGCGGGCGCGCGCAAGAGAGAGAGAGAGAGAGAGAGAGAGAGAGAGAGAGAGAGAGAGAGAGAGAGAGAGAGAGAGAGAGAGAGCATGGGCACAAGATTTTAACTTTTTCCATGTGTACCATTCATTCACCCATAGGGTAGGCAGTAAGTTCGCGAATCTTCGATCTCCTTCCTTCCATTTTCCTATTTGGGCCTTGTTTTGGTAAGTCGATGACAATCCTCTTCACTCCCTTATCCATCTTTTCTCCCATTGTTCCTCTTTTTTTGCTCAAAGACGACGGTTTGCTTTCGAGAATCCCACAGTAAAAGTGGACTCTTTCTGTCGTGACCACTGCTGCCAGAAACGTTACATAAAATACGGCAATCAACACAAATGCCGCCATCTCATGCAATGCCATTCAGTGCCAAAACCTCCCTGGTATCAGAGCACACAATTGGACGTACCACGTAAACGGATGATGCGCCCATGCATGCTCTCTCTCTCTCTCTCTCTCTCTCTCTCTCTCTCTCTCTCTCTCTCTCTCTCTCTCTCTCTCTCTSTGTGTGTGTGTGTGTGTGTGTGTGTGTGTGTGTGTGTGTGTGTGTGTGTGTTGCTGTGTGTGCGTGCTTATGCGTGTGCACAGAATGTCATTGGTAAAAGGATGCTGACGAATACCACGCCCGCGCGGGGTGAACTTCATAGTGTCAAGCCCGAACAGACGTGACAGACAACCCGGTGTTTGACGTGGGCAGCTCCATCCATGTGTCCGTGAATTCCTGACCGCACGTTGTACGGTTGTGGCGCTCAGGCAACAAGAAGAGCGGACGTAGACCAGCTACATACGCTACGAGAGAGAGAGAAGGGGAGCTTGCCACTTCATCCCATTCTGCATGTCGGACCCGATGTGGCGTTTTGTTACCTGAACAGTCCCGCATCGGAGGAATGCGGATCCATCACCTGAGTCTAGCTCAAAGTTTAACCTTGTTGTACACAAAGGCATTCGGGGTTGATGTTAAAAGTTGAGTTCGACGTTATGTCGGATTGTTTGCGGGTGCATTGCCCAACACGACCTTTGTCAGCCACCCCGCCACGACGGCGGCTTCCCAAGGGTCAGAATTACGGAGTGAGCCAAACAATACCCTGTATTGTTCTGCGAGACTGTTTTGGGGACTAAGGAACACGAAGCCCGTTTCGAAAGCCAGTGCGATAGAGACAAAAGGGGCATGTGCACGACCGCTAAGAGGCCAAAGCTGAGAGAATGGGGTAATTTGAATTTGAAGGAGGTTGGCCCAGCGCCCTTCCTGCTGTGTGTCTGAACATAGAACGACTCTACCGGAGTTGTGCCTGCAAAGCTGTGAGAGGGGGGTAATTTGAAGGAGGCTGGCCCCGGCGCCCGTCCTGCTGTGCGTCCGAACATACAACGACGCTGCTGGAATTGTGCCTACGTGAAAAGGTCCTGTTTTGCTTGGACAAAGGCAAGTGAAGCCCTAGTATGTCCGTACCGGGCAAGAGATCAGTTGAGAAAAACAAGCTTCCTGTTGCTTTTAGGCCCCTTCCGCCGTCTAGCTGATGGACCGAGCAGCAGACGATTGGGAACGCCAATGGAATCGGTGATCCTTAAATCGGCACCATTCTTTACCTCATCCGTTCTCTCTTACTAGCCTTTTTCAGTATTCGCCGCCAACGATTGCATGATGACGACGATAGTGACAACTTGAATGAGAGGGGTGATAATTAGAGTATCACGGTGATGGGCTGGGTCCCAATCCGATGCGTTCACCATCGGCAGTTCGTGGTTTCCATCGGACGGGAAGCTGGTACAGAAGGAGGAGGGTGGGGAGGCGGAGGAGTAGGAGGAGGAGGAGAGTTGGACGGGGTGGCACAGCGATCGAGGTTGGGGAGTAGAGGCAACAGAGCGAGAGAGAAACAACCGATGCCACTTCATTGTGTTAAGGCAGCCGGGGCCCGCCATGGTTGACGGTTGTCAGGCCGCCAGCAGCACCCACCTCGTACTTGGACGCAATAGATGCCACTTGCTCCGCTTCTTCCAAATCGGGCACCCCGGCTCGCACGCTGAAACCCGCTCGCAACAGCTCTTTGACAATGCGCACCCCAGTTTGGCCAGTCGCTCCGGCCACAAAGACGGTGCTTGGGTCGGCCTTCCGCCCGCGTCCGCCGAAGATCCCCGCCCCAGCGGTGCGCAATATCATCGTGCCCCCTCCGCCATCTTTCTTACGATCAGCGCTAGATAATGTTAAACCGCTAGCCGCACCTCCATTACGCTTCCCCCAGTTGGCACCCAGCGACAGTAGCCCAGCCCGAGGTTCCGCCTCTTCGTCCTCTCCTTTCGGCGCACTGCGACCGCTCGTCGTGCCGAGCCTGCCTATCTGCGCCCCGACTCTCTTCCACACGGGCTCCTCCCCAGCAGCCGCGGCACGAATCAGCGCCCGCCCGCGCTGAGCGCGCCGGCGGGAGCCTCCGACGTTCGAACGCCCGGCTGGAGCGCACTTCTCGCTGTTGGCGACACAGCGCAGCCCGTCGAAGCGTGCGAACGCTGAGCGCTTGCCTTGCGCCTGCACCACCGACACCGTCTCGCACCCTTCCTGCCCTCTCAACGGGCAGCATTCCGAGATTGCCAGGCCGGTGGCCCGGGTGTGAGCTACTACCCGAATCGCCATCTCCGAAGATCACCGTATCTACTTAAGCACACTACTGCGGCCACAGAAGGAGTGATGGCGAAGGAATAACCAGGAGGAAGAAGACAGACGACCGGGAGGGAGCTACGCAATGGCTAACACACTGCTGGACAAACGAGGGGGTCGTTTCCCACCCTGTCTCCTTCCATCGATCTACCCCCGCCCTCCGCCTGCCACCGGAGGGCGGTGCACACCAAGTACTCAGCAGGGTTCGCCAGCACGAGCCGCCAGGAGAATGGGGAGAGAGACAGGAGCACAGATGAGAGAGACGCCCGCAGAGACAGTGACACAGAAACGCGCAGGGGAGGGATTTGACGAGTGAGGGAAGGAGGAGGGAGGGTGGGATGGAGGGAAGGGGTAGAATACACGGATAGAGCTAGAGTCGTCGTTTCGTCCCACGCCTACTACCTCAACAGGGACCATAACTATGGCAGTGGCAGAAAACGACCCTCGCCTTTCCCCTCTCGAAATTTGGGGATCACTCTAACAAATCCGGCCGACGATTCGCCAAGAAACCAGAAATCCGCATCGCACATTAATTTTCAGTTTTCACGCAAAAATGGTGAAGGGCGATCGCGTCCTAGCCGGATGGATCGTCAACAAATCCATTCAATGCGTTCTGGCTCGGAATTTGCTCAGGAGAAAGCGCGAATCTCCTACCCCAACCGGGAGCCGCGCCCGACAGGCCCCCATTGGCTGCCGTCCGATCCGTCCGTCTGCGCCCTACCCCAACCGGGCAGCAGCGCCAGGAGACTCTTTGTTAGCTGCCGTCCGATCCGTCTGCCTCTGCCTCGCACAAGAGTACACCGGCTGATGCGCGGGTTTATTCGAATGACATATGGGACGCTGGACCCGGTTTCCAGCAGAAGTCAGGATCCATGTATGATATATATGGGACGCTGGACCCCGTTTCCAGCAGGTGCTGCTCCCCACCAATACATTGGAGATAGGCGGTGGGTAGGGGCGCTCATATCACCTCATCTAGTATACCGAGGCCAACTTACTCTCCCACTATCAGGACGGGGGCCATCACCCACTACCAAAAGAATGGTTAGTTTACAAGATTGTGCAAGCCGCTAAAGAGTGATCTGCCTGCGGGCCATGGCTGAATGGTATGTGTACATAGCTCTTTATAAACAAGATCATGACTTCAACTCTTATCACTACTAAGGGGTATAATGCTAGGGGGTACCTCCCTCGTTTTCTTTTGAAAAGGGCAAGACCTCGCTTTTGCTCCGAGGAAACCATACGTTTGGTCGCCAGGCTGGTCACAGGAGTGTATGTTGAACATGTGGGGCCTAATGCCAGAGGGAAAACGTTAGAGGGGGTGCTGGTACTGAACGATAAGCCCCACGCCACACTGGTACACTCAGACGCCCCTAATACTAGTGGGAAACCATATATACGATCATGAAGCTGGTCACAATAGTCAGAAGCTGAAACCACCAATCCCTTTCTGAACTACTTTGCTCTGACGGGGAGGATGAACGCTCCGGTACCAGGCGACCAAGAGGGCCAGCCCAGTTGGTACTGTGATATGCAACCTTACACCCCGTGCTGCGTCCCGTACCCGTGGGGTGTTCATCCCTGATGCCTATAACCACTGTCCGGTCAAAGATCACTAGAATACGTGATGATCCTGGGTATACTCAGGTAGGTCCTTGGGAGTACGGATGCGTCGAGAATCGCGATGATGAGTACAGATGGGAGGGTGTCTCATACGGGACTGGTTAGGCAATAAATCGGGATGACCAAATGGTCAGGTGCGGGCAAGATTGTCATATGCCTAGTGGCCAGCCTCTGCAACAACCTGAACTTAAACCACTAGTACCTTTGCCGCTTCAAAAATGAGGGAAAACGCCAGTTTCCGAAGAATTCGGAGGCCGGGCCTGACGACGGCTGTCATTGATAAATATAATCAGTGGCCGTCATTTCATTTCGACCTCCTGAAAGGTCGGAGGCCCGCTATTTTCTGAAACGACAAAGGTACTAGTGGTTTAAAGAAAAAAAAAGTGCTTGGGGGGTGCAATAAATGTGATAGATCAGTTGATAGATTATAAGCGTAAAGTGAGACGCTTGTGGGTAGGAAGTCAGAGGGGGCGGGAGACGGGGCGGGGGGGGAAGCTAGAGAAGTAGAAATGGTGATGGTTTGGACTCGAGAGTGGTGTGAAAGAAACATTGAGACAGGTTTGTATGGCAGTCTTCGATTGGGGGGGGGGGTGAGGAGGGATAAGGAGAGCCTAGCAGCTTGAGGGACCTGTGGGGAGGTGGGTGGCGACTGGGCAAAGACGCATCGGGACCTCCACTCCACCCAAAGGCCTATCTGCCTGAGTTCGCTCCCCGTTGCCTCCTCATTGCAGACAGGTCAGGCATCGACATGGACTGACACGCCCTACCTTCGTGCTCGTCTATCTTCTTATGCTTTTCAACCTTTATCTCTCTATGTTTGTCGGTGATAAGTAACCGGATTGTTGCCCCTTGAATAGATGAAGCTCTTGTGTTTTTTTTTTGGGGGGGGGGAATCCGAAGCCTTGACAAAGATCATCTTTACGAATAATGAATATGCAACATTATTCACTAATTAAAAAGTAAACAAGACTGTCAATTATGATGCATAATAATGATATATGTCAAATTCACCATTACCAAAGATAGCAAATGTATTTAACAATGAGACCAATACAAACATCTTTCAAGGGACTGCTCATGATCTTATATTCTACGTTGCGACTTGTACTCACCCTCGTACGAGTATGAGTCGTACTCCTTACTCGTATGCTAGGACTCATACGACTTTTTTTTTTAACTATTTTTTTTCCCCTCAAACTATAATAAGAATCTGCATATGATGCTCAACGAAATGTTGTTTGTACTGTGCTGTTGCAACACAATTTTTTTTTTCCGGATGTTTTTGATAACTTTGATTTTTTTTCGTATGGGGGCTTGCAAGACGTACGGGTTCCTGTACAGGTTCCCATATAGGTTCCCGTACAGATTCTCGTACAGGTTCCTGTACAAATATTACCTGTACGTTTCATACGGAAAGCCCCGTACGTGTATGTTAGGTAACGTAACTTATATTATGGGTGGAAAAAAATATCATCCGAACATGAGAATAGGTATTACACAGTAGATCTATTGTTATATAGTGAAGCATGGTAAAATCCCTTAAGAAAGGTTGAACTATAACATCATATATCATTCAAACAAGGAATATGATGAGATGGATGCTTGTCAAAGTAATGATCATATGACTATAAACGATACTGAGAAGACAACGATGTTCACACCTTGAATTACCCAAAAGGAACAAAATTAACAAAAAATAATAAATGAATAATTGAAGGTTTGCATTACTTTTCTTCTAATTCCCCCGAGAGCAATATTTCATGAAAATGATTAAGATGAAGTTAACAATGAAACATGGAAGAAACCACGAAGACAAGTCGATCGAATGTAAGATAAGGAAAATGTCGTATTAGATGATTACCAGAATAGACGATCATGTGACAATGTACGAAATTAAATACAAAATAATGTTCACATCTTAAATGACTCATAAGTAAAAAAATCAACAAAGAAGGATGAAAAAATAGTTAAACTTTTGAATGATTATCATTTCGGTTTCATTGAAAGCTATGTTATATGAAAAGGATATGATGGAGTCAGCGCAGCGATACTAATTACTTTTTGGTCTCTTTCTAGCTTGCACCGTTCTGCAAGGTGGTTGATCACACAACTAATTCGCTAACTCACCAAATATCCAGTTAAATCAATGTGTGTCAACAAAGTGCATATCCATACACTCTCGGACCTGACTATACATGTGATTGTCGTCCCGACTTTCTGAGAGTCAATTGCCGACTGTATCAAGATAGCTCATGCCACTATCCCCAATATTATTGTGGATGCGGCTTATGCGAGACACAAAAACATGGGCAAATACCCTTGTAAGGGTATTCACGTCGACAACGTGCCGTAAGGTGCACTCCGACACACTCTCTCAGCTATCCACGCGTGCGCTCGTTGTTTCGACTTCTTAGAGTCGGTTACGGGCTGTGAGAAAATAAATGTGTCAGTACCTTAACTATCATTTCGGATGAACCCCATGTGAGATGCAAAAACATAGAAAAATTCCTTTGTAAGGGTTTTTATGTTGATAACGTGATTATTTTTTTGGTTTTATAGCCTCTTTTGTACGTGTCTCTAAGCATGCCTCGCATACAATTTTTTATTTTTTTTTATACGTTCATTGTATTGTGTTGTACAAAGGTTGTACGTTCTCTGTGTAATACTCTACATACAATATATTTTTGAAAAAAACAATTACGATAAAATATTGAAAGAAATATATGTGATAGAAAATATTATTTTAAACAACTCTTACCTTAGAGAAAAAATAAAATTATCAACTGATTTTGAGATAAACATAAAATAATAAACAAATATATATACATACAAGGTCACCAGCCCGTACGTACGGAGGTCCCCGGACAGACCTCCGTACGTACGGGCGTTCGGGGTCCCGTACGGGGTCCGCCCCCGACGGCGTTCGGCCCCCGCTAAAAAACATTTTGGGGCCTAAAAATATATTCTTTTTAATGAATTTTTTTTTGTGAGCTTTCTATGACGTCAGGTACATGCCTATAAATTTTCAAGACACTTAGCTCAGCCAAATAAGAATAAAAAATCGCCAAAGATGGCAGTGTCAAAATGTGCTCGCCCACGTTTTTTTTCACTTTTTACTTATTGTTTTCACTTTAGTTCAGGGTTGAAACAATTTTTTTATTTTTAAAATTTTTTTTAGTGGGTTTTGCATTATGTAAAGTACACATTTGTAAATTTTTAGGGCATTTAGCTATGCCAAAAAAAAATAAAAAATCGCCAAAGCTGGCGGTGTCGAAAACGTGCTCGTGCACTCACTATTTTTTATATTTTTTTTTATTAGTATTTGTTCTTCGTATTTTATTTTTATTTCAAATTTGGTAAGTAATTTGGATGTTATGCTTAGGCAAATCTTGTTTAATTTATTTTTCTTTATAGCATATATTTTTTTCAGATTTTTTCTAGGCTACTAGAGTGGTCTGGGGTCACTTCCCCGGTCGGGCCAAAAAGATAAAAAAAATGGGTAACTTCGGCGCAGTCACGAAAACAGTTCGTAATTGCACTTCAGGCAATCCCTCGAATACAACACACCCCCATGCGACCCCATCGAACCCGAAACGTAGGTCACATACATTCAGCATTACCGGCCCTTTTGCCTAAACTGCAATTACAAACTCAATCCCTGACTGCGCCGTAGTTTTCTCTAAATATATATATATATTTTATAAAAGTTTATTTTATATTTTAAATTTGGTAAAGAATTTCGATGTGAGTCCAAGGAAAAAGTTGTTTAGTTTATTTTTCTACATAACATAGTATTTTTTCAGATTTTTTCGATTTTTGTTTTTTTGCTGGGACCTTCCCTTGTCCTTGCACAGGCTGGTAACCCG